AATAAATATTTAAAAAAAATTCATATTCTTATTTAAAAAAATAAAAATTTATCACTTGATTTGAATATTTAAAAAAAATTTGCCTTTAAATAAAAAATAATAAAATTTATATTATTATTTATATTTTTTTATTATAATTATAACATTGTTGAAATTCAAATTTGTTCCTGTCCTTCGATTTCTCGCACCCACGGAAAGGGCTCCACTAGACACCAAATCGAAGGAAAAATCAAAGAGGACTTGCTCTTACAGTTTACACTTTTCACACCTAAACCCGTACCATTTGAAAGAAAAATCAGAGAAAATGAAACGATGGAAATCCAATTAGATGAAGATTTTATTCCCTTAATTCAAGGGTTCAATAATTCTCATGATTATTGGCGTTTGGTGACCGAGAAAACTCATACGCACACGGCACACCTATTCATGAAATTTCTTTCCCAGCTTCCCTATATTACGCACAAGGGTAATGGCCTGTGCTTATCGCCATTATTATTTTTTTATTAAATTAGTTAAATTTTAATTTAAAATAATTAAAAATTAATTTATAAATATATATTTTTAAATATTATAATTAATTATTTAAAAATTATAAATAATAAAATTATAAACAATATGAGTGGTCTTAATAAATTTATCGATTACCATAACCTCAACCGGGTCAATTGTGTCTCCGTTGTGCTCCACTGTCAGGTTGTATGAATTATAGACTGGGATGAGAGCAACCGCTAAACTAATCCTTTACACCCGTCAACGGCAGACAGGATTACCAGCAGTGCAGAGGGAAAAAAAGTGTTATTCGGGGTCTGCAATAAATATCAGTTCCCTGTTGATAGAAACCTTTTCTTGTTTTTTTGTTTTTTTTGTTTGGTCGATTTGCGTTTTTGTGCTTGGTGAAAATGATTCCCTTCTAATCCTCTTAATTTGCATGTCGCCAAAGTGGAAATGTAATCATTTTTCGCCAAAGTGGCATTGGAATTTCACATGGTGGGGTAAAATTTTTCAAATTGCATGCCCTGAATGCCATTTGTTAAGTAGCAAGATTTTCCCCAACTCATGTTGACATATGGATCCGTTCACAAAAGCCAGCTAATATCACTGGGTTAAGGTACAAATTGATTACCAAACTGAATTAGAAAGTTAATAAAAAAAAGTGTTGTGAAGTGATTAAATTCTTCTTCTATGTCCTTAGACTAACCTACTAAGTAATAAAATAAAAAAGAAAGTGTTATTCAGTCCTGTTGAAACAACTTTAATAATTAATCAAAGAGAATCTGAATATAAGATGTAAGACATGATTATGGCCAAACATGTTAGAACCACCTAACTTTTAAAAATTATCTTTTTAAAATATTAATT